TTGGATAATTCTGTTTCCTAAACTTTCATATTTTCTCTCTGTTCAGAGACAATTTGAAAGGCAATATACTACTCACCTGAACCACAGGATCACAGAATCCTCAAGGTTGGAAGAGGCCATCTAATTCATCAGTACTAAAATCACCTAGTCTGTGTCCCAGCTCACAGCAGAGTCAGGTAGAGGAGGCTGCCCAGGACCGTGTGTAGTTGGTTTTGATTATCTTCAAGAGCTGAGATGCCAGAACTTCTTTGGGCAAAATTTACAAGTGATTGACTGCTCCCATAGTGAAAAAAAAAAAAAACAAAAATCAAAAACCCAACAGCAAAACCTTCTGGAGTGTTCAGATAATTTCATGTGATTCAGTTTGTGCTCATTGCCTCTTGTCCTGTCACTGAGAAGAGCCTAGGTCCATACACTTCTTTTTTGCCCACCAGGTATTTCTAGAAATCAATAAGATCCTTCAAGAGCCTTCTCGTCTCCAGACTAAACACTCCCAACTCTCTCAGTGTCTCATCATATGACAAATTTTCCAGTCCCTATTTCTCGGTAGCCCTTTGCTGGAGGTACTCTGGAATGTCCATGTCTATTTTGTGCTTGGGAAACTCACACCTGGACCCAGCACTCCAGATGTATCTTAATTCTACCAGTGCTGAGCAGAGGGAAAGGATTACTTTCCTAAAGCTGCTGCTGCTGTTTTTCCTGATGCAGCTCAGGATGTCAATTGCTGTCTTTGCTGTGCAGGTGAGTTGCTGGTAAGTTGACAACTTTTTGTTAAGCATGTGACCCCCGTATCCTTGTCTGTGTAGCTGTTTTCCAGCCCACTGGCCCCAGAATGTATTGGTGTTGGGGTTTGTTCATCCACAAGGGCAGGACTTGCGTTTGTTGAATTTCAATATTGTAGAATGACTTCAAGTTAGTTAAGCACAATTTACCTTTCATAAATCCTTCCTGATGCTAATCACCTTCTTGTCCTTGGCTTTGGCAAGGCTACTCTGTCACCTCCCCTGGAACTAAAGTGAGGCTGACCAGCTTGTAACTCCCCATCTCCTCCTTCTCTTAAGGACAGGAGTGATACTTGCTCTGATCTCAGGGACCACTCCCGGTTGCTCACAACCTTTCAAAGGGAATAGAGGGTAGCTTGCAATAGCATGGCTCAGCTTTTTCAGCATGCCATCCTAAGTCATTTCATGGATCTGTGTTTTCTCAAGTACTCCCCGACCTTTTCTTGCTCCATCCAAGGTAAGTCTTCCTCGCTCCATATTTTTCCTCTAAGTCTCAAAGGCCTAAGATTCCTGAAGGCTGCTTTTACCAGTGAAGATGGAGGCAAAGAAGGCATTGAGCACCTCAGCCTTTTCTATGCCTTCTTTTAACTCATGTAGCTGTAGAAACTTTCCCGTTACCGTTCACATTTCTCATCTGTCCTAGTTTCGGCCAGTACAGAGCTATTTTTGCATTTGCAGGCATGGGGATATGGGAAGGGCAAGGAGGCTGGAGCCCTGTGGATGTGTTCTGGTGATTTATTCTGTATCAGGCATGTCATTGCTGTAGGGCATGGCTTTGAGTAGAAGAAAAGGCAGAGTGGAAGGATGTTTTGTTCCCTCTTTACCTGTGGAAGCAAAGTGCCCAACAGAGTGGTTCGGTCTGGGCAGAGCAGTGCAGACTGCCTTGGGGGGTTAGTCCATCATTGTTTTCCATTGTCTCAGGTGAGGGACAAAAATCTCCACATTGGCAATGGTAATGTGCACCCTTTTCTCCTTTGTCTCTGGAAAAGCTGCGTGGCCACCAGGGATGTGGTAACACATGCCATTTTTCTCCTTAGTCTCAGGAAAAGCTGCATGTCATTGGCCATGGTAACAACGGGACACTTGGACTTCCAAAAGCATTTTTGGCATGCAATCACCCTCTTTTATATATTGTTGTTATTAGTATTGTTGCTGTTACTGTTTTCCTTATTTTATTACTGTTTTTCCAGTAAATTTTTGTCTCAACCCATAATCTCTGCCTTTTTGTCCCTTTTTCACTGGAAGGGGTGGAGGGAAAGAAAGTGGCTGTTTGGAGCTTAATTTCCATCTGGTCTTAAACCACAACATCACCTCATTCAACTCCAGGTTTGGCTTTCCTCATCTCATCCCTGCATGATTGTACAGTGCTCTGCATTCCTCCTAATTCAGCTGTCCCCTCTTCCACTTATCATACATTTCCTGTTTATATCTGAGCTTAGTCAGGAGCTCTCCAGCCATCTATGCAGGCCTTTTGCTGCCTTTTTTTGAACTCTGCACATCAGGTTGAATGATTCCTGAGCTTAAAGGAGGTGATCTTTGAAAATTAAACAGCTGTCCTGGACTCATCTTTTCTCCAGGGTCAGAACCCATGTGACTCTTCCAAGCAACTCTAAAGATGTTAAAGTCTGCTCTGCAAACTTCACTTCCACTCTTTGCTATTCCCCTCTGCTCAAATTTCTGAATTCACTGTCTCATGATCCCTGCAGCAAAAACCTTCACGTGCCCATGCATTTCATCATTGTTGGCTTCTCAGTCACCAGTGTCAGGAAGTTGTTTGTCGATGCACTGAATGTATTCTGTTCTGATGCTTTAGTTGGCCTTCAGCCCAAAGAAAATTCATTTGAATGTAAAATTTCCAGCTGCCACTCTTGGCAAAAATAAATTAATGCTATTAAGTATGATCAAAACCAAAGTTTTTAAAACCTTTTGCTGCCTTAAGATTGTTGACATTTTTGAGCTCATTGCCCATGCCATTTTGCATTAAATTCATAATCAAATAGTTAATTAACTGAAAAGAGAAACTTAAAACCAGATTGTATCAAAATATTAGGTATAAACTTCAATGTTTTCCCTATCTTCCTATTTGTAACAAATACTTTATTGCATACTGCAGCTTGAAGATGCATTTATCTTCAGTTTCACATTTCTTGATCCATTATGACCTCACAACATTTGCAAAAGCTGGCACTATAAAGGGGCACTGCAGGACTCTTGTGGAATTGGGAGAAAGGAAGAACTTCCTGGTTGTTCATAAATATATGTGGAAATGCTCTGAATGCACTTCCTATAGCAAACCACTCCAAGAGCAAACTTCAGTGGTACTCCTGCAATACTCTTAGAACTGTAGACCCAGCCATTTCCCACTGTTTTTGTCTTGCTTTAGTATCACCTAGTGGAAAAGTTAGATTTCCACAGGAAAAACAAATTAAGCTAAACATGCACAGGACAAGCATTTTGCTGTGGGATTTTTCCTGGTTAATCAGTCTTGTCTGCTGTAATTGATGCCTGCACTAATACTTGCACGGTGCTGGCTGCCTTCAAAATCTGGGACTCTGGAGTAGAGAAGCAAGATATTTTTGGGATGGATATGGTAATGCTAAGGAGGTAAGGCCATAACGAGGTCATTCAAGCAGATCCTCTCTTCACCTGTTTTGGAAATAATTTGTTGTGTTCCTCTGATTTTTACTGTTCTTTGTTCTGTACTGCTTCTCAGTCACTTTGAAACATATTTATATCTTCTGTCTCTTTCAGGGACTCTTTTTTCTCCCTCTGGGTACTTTACTACATTTCCCATCCCCAACTTGTCTTGAAAGGATTTTTCTTTCTCAGTAGTTTGTCCAACCCATTTTATTCTTCTTTCCTTTCTACTTACAGCAACTGAGGAACTGTATGTTCTTCCCATAAAGGATGAAATTCTTTGAAAGACAAAACTGATGCAACTTTAGTTCCCTGTCCTTAGCCATGGCTGCCATCATGGCTTGCATGTATAGCCATAATGCTCAACTTGCAGTCTTACAGTACATGAACATCTGCAAAGTGTGATAACTTTTCTGTCTCACTGGTCTGTAGCAAAACTAGGAACAGGTTGCCCAGAAAGGTGATACATGCTCCATTCCTGGAAAAATTCAAGGTAAGGTTGGACAGTGCTCTGATCAACTTGATCTAATTGGAGATGTATCTGCTCAATGCAGGGGCTTGGACTAAATTATCTTGTCCAATCCAAACCTTCCAACACAAAAATTCCATCTGAAGTAAACGTTACAAGTTCAAATCTGAGCGAACTCTCATGAAATTTTTCTTGTCATCTGGAGTTATAGATGTCAATGGCCTGGATGCAAAATTGTCTCAGGGATTTTTTGGGAGGAACGATACATGTAACAGAAGAAGAATGAGTCCAAGCCTGTCCTTTTTCTGGTGTTTGCTGTGTAATTATGAAGCCACTTGTGTCAGAAATAGGGTACAGGGTCCCTTTTTCAGTTCCCACAGTCTTGAGTAAGCTGTGACAGAAGCAACTGCTCTAGGAATTGACTCAGAGGAGTCAGAGACAATTTTTCCTCCCACAGTTGATAGTTCCCTCTGAGGAGATGTAAGTATAACCAGAGCTCTCTGTTTGGCAGCTAGGTGGTGTATTTTATTGTGCCCTTATCCTGAATCATGGGCACCTTGTATCATGTAAGCAAATACAAGGCATTTGTTTTAAATACAAAATTTATTCATGAATTCACTAGTAAAATAGCAGTTATTTTTACCTCCACATAAAACAAATAACTTGAAAGGCATATAATACAAAAATAATCTGTTGCAACAAATAATCTGCAAATTTCAAACAAAAGCTGAGTTAATAGGTTTCCCAAATCAGTTAATGTCTCAAAACAAAAAATGACTGCTTTAATCTGAAACTTCTTATGAAGCACAAGTCAAGACTGATTGAAGCACCGTGATGCTTCGTTTATCTTGCAGCGTAAGAAACTCCTATTGCCAGAGATGGTGACTTCTACTAGACTGCCTGAGCATTTCTGTCTCTGTGGAGATTTATTCTAATTTGAAATACTGAGCACTTTTACATATCCCCTCCAACTCCACTCCAAGACACAGATGATCAGTGTTTTTCCTGTGCAATTTCACCCTAAGTAGTGTTACTATTAGGGATCACTGACACAAGTCTTCTTCCAGTTTTCCCTGCTTCACAGATGCAGGATTTTACTGGCTCCATGTCTCTCATGTTTTGACAGGTGTTTCTCTTCCTGAGGTCCTCTGGAAGTCTGTATCCTGTTGGCAACTGATTTCTTGCATGGATATATGATAATTTAAACCCCTCTGAGGTTTGGGTCTTGGTCAGCTGTTTGCTGCTGCTCCACAGATAATGTGTATGGTGGTGGCTGCTCCTGCTCATTTGTTTCACTGACAAATTCTGCACTGCTTTCACTATATGGAGGTGGAGGAATATTGATGAATTCTTGCTGTTTTAGTGTGGAGGCAACTGACAGTGGGGAAACCAGTTTTTCAGGATCTATGCTGTCTTCGTAAGAGGGAGGGTAGAAGTCAGGCCTAAAATAAGCAAACCAAAAAGAAACAGATCATGGTGAAGTGTGATTTATCTCATAGAGCTTGGTTAGGTGCTTTGGCTATTATGGTTCCAAAATTTAGATGAGGCTTTAATTGTAAACAGACACCTAAGTGTGTTTAAAGCACTGAAATATCTAAATACAGAAAAGCAAGCATAACTGATATAATTTGCCTTGTACAAAATGTTTTATTAAAACACAGCATTCTAAAAAGACAAGCCTTCCCCATGAAAATTCCCAACCATGGCATACAAACACTCATGTTTGTGAGTATTTTAACAATGCCTGAGAAAAGTTTAATTTGGAAGAAGAATGAAATCAGTGTTCAAAATTATTTATTATTAGAATAACCATTGTTTTCCAAAGTTTTAAAATAAATTTGGTATGCCTCTGCTTATCTAACCAAAATTTACTGAATGTTGCTTTTAGAGTGCCTTTAGAGCACCCAATGTCAGTGTTTCTAGTACCGTTTCCACAACAGTCCAGGAAAAGTAATTTGTATCCAGTGACCATGTTCAAGAGTTTTGCCAGGCCTAGTGCCAATCAGTTTAAAAAACTCTCTCTCTCAAAGCATCAGACTTTGTTAAGAACAAAATCATAGGGTCACAGAATGTTTTGGGAAGGGGCCTTAATGGTCATTCAGTTCCTGCCATGGGCAGGGCCACCTTCCACTGGACCAGGTTGTCCATCCAACCTCGCCTTGGATACATCCAGGGGCAACCACAGCTTGTCTGGGCAACCTGCTCCAGTGCCTCACCACCCTCACAGTAAATCATGTTTTTCCCAATATCTAATATAAGCATAACCTTTCTCCATCTGAAACCATTCACACTTGTCCTGTCTCTACATGTTCTTTTATAAAGTCCCTCTCCATCTTTCCTATAAGTTCCCTTCATGTACATAGGGTGCTGGAGTCTCACTGGAACCTTCAACAGGCTGAATAACTCCATCTCTCTCAATCTGTCATCACAGGAGAGGTGTTCCCTTCCCCTCATCATCTTCATGGCCCCCTTCTGGACCCACTGTAGCAGGTTATTGCCCTTTCTGTGGCAAGGACGCCAGATCTGGATGCAATGCTCCAGGCAGGGACTGACGAAGACACAGCTGAGGAGCAGAATCTCCTCCCTCAACCTGTTGGTCACATTTATTTGGATGCAGCCCAGGACACATTTGGCTTTCTGGGCTGCCAGTGCACATTGCTGGGTCACCCTGACCTACTCATCAACAACCCCCTGCCCCAAGTTCTTCTCCCCAGGACTGCTCTCAATCCATTTTCTACCCAGCCTGTGTTTGTATTTCCATTTGCACCAAACCAGGTACAGGACCTAGTGCTTGAACTGGTTGAATTTAGTGAGATTTTTAAATCGTGGGGACAATTAGACAAGAAAATTTAAGCAGGAGCCATATAATGAAGAAGCTGAGGACCCCTGCATGCCTCAGCTTTGATAACCTACATGAGCACCTACCTCACAGCAGCATCTGAAATTGTCTGCTGGGATGAAGCTCAGGATTCTCTTGTGTAAAGTTGGAATAGCTGAGCCTGCTGCCTCCATGCATGACTTTGGGAGCTTTGGAAAATCTGAAACTTTCTCTGTTTCGTGCAGTATACCTTACCTTAGGCACTGTTTGCATGAATGGCTGTTTGCACATTGCTGCTTGCTCTAGCCAATAAAATTTCAGACTACAATTCTCTCCACAGAAAAATAATAAAATGGCTACAGGATTTGCATTTTGTAAAAAAATTGCATTGCTTCTTTCTTATCACAGTATGTTTAAAAAATAGCATCCCTCCCTCCCAATTTATCTGCCACACATACCTGTCTATGGTGCAGACATGTGGTTCTCTGTGGCTGGGATTTCGAATGAAGATGCCAAGGGCCCTGTATTTCAGGACTTCATGGAAAGTGCTCCAGAAAATGCCAATGACAAGGAGACAGAGTCCCAAAGCTAACAGGCAATAAAACACTAGCTTGTTGTTCCCACATCTGCACATAGAAGAATTCGTGGACGTGCAGAGTACTCCCAGGCAAATACTGGAGAAACTGAGTAAAAGCATAAAAAAACGAATGAAAGTAAAAAAAAGTTTTGGCATCTTTCACAGAAGACACAGCACTTTGTTCCTGTCTACTATTTGTTTGCTGGCTCTTCTCTACTTCTCATCTTCATGTCTGGGTGCTTTATATGCTACAGGACCAACTGGCCTTTAGACAATTAAGAGAAGCAGGCAGTTTTAACCTACTCATTAACTCTTTGAGAGACTTACAAACTCTTTTCAGATTAATTTGTAACCTTCTACCACTTTAAGGAAGGAAGCAGAAACTTCCTGAACCATCCCTTTGCCGCTGTAATCTCTGGAGTGTAAACTTGGACTGCTCCCTTCATTGCATGGTTTGCAGTGGTTTATACATTTCACTGCTTATCGGTGAGACCTGTATTTGTTAAATTTGACTGATTTGAGTTCAAAAGAACAATAACCAGCAAACATGCTGTTCGTAAATTCCCATTAAAAGTTGGAAGGGAAACTATGCTTCGTATAAATGCAGACAGTGACATGAGAAGGGAATGTGCGTGGTAAAAACTGCAGTTCTCTGAGGGGGGATGTCGTCTTACCTTTTCCCTCTGACTTGCCAAGGTAAATTAGCACTAAAGAATATTAGTGTCTGACAGGTATCAATCTAGGTTCCACAAAGGATTTACTTCTCTAAGCACTAGCTGTTGCCATCCAGTACCTTGGCCCTGAGAGCCTAGGAAGCTGACCTGAAGCACTTGCATGACCTATGCAGTCCATAAAGGAGTCCAGCACCTCAGACTGGGACACAGGACAGCCTTGAGGCGTGTCTGAGCTCCCAGAAGAAGCAGCAGAAGGCAATACACCTCTTAGTGAGCAGGTTTCCTAGGCGTGGAGTTACCCCAAATATATGCTGGGCTCTGACTAGCTCTCACAGCTTTCCCTCCACCTGCCTAACTTGCATGTTACTATTGGATGGGTATTGCAACAGCTAGCTCACACCTCCCTGTACTGCTTTGTAAGGTTTGAGTTGCAAAAACAGCAAAACATTCAACTGCAAAAGCAACTGGTGACGCAGCAAACACTTCCCTTAAAAGAACTGTTCCAATGGAAAAGACAAAAAGTGGAGCAGATTCCCAGTAACGGGAGTTGCCACTTAGCATGTGTGCAGGTGCATGTTTCTCAGGGACAAGGTGGGGCTAGATCAGGGAAAACTGTTATTTTAGGCACTGGCTTCACCAAATTCAGGTCTTTAAAAGAGGTGGCCCAGTTGTGACAGAGGAAATCAGCAACCAGAAGTGTAAAGCCACGTGTTGGGGGTAGGGATTCCTGCAGGGAAGGTGTGAGTGGAGGCTGAGAACATGACATGCAGGTGGAGCACAGTGAAATGGTAGAGTCAGTGCTGCTGGATGCCCACGCAACAGCAACAGCTGCTCTTCCAGAAATGTAACTGCAAAACTGTACTGCGACAGAAACACATTAAAATAAACCATTTCAAAAGGCAAGTAATTTACATCTGTCTTGCCTAATATGAAGTCCACCAGTTCATCTTCCTTCTGGTGCAGGACTTTTCCAGGACACCTTTGCTTCATGCTCAGTTGTTTCAAAAATTAATTAATGCTTTTCCTTCAGTTTGTTTTCCCATAGGTTAACAGATCCAGCTACATTTACAATATTTTTTTTCTGTATAATTTCTATTTTCTGCATATCTGTTCAACATATTTTATTTTACAAAATACTTTTTATTACTTCTGTATTTTTTGATGTTTCAGATCTTAACACACCTAAATAGAAATACTGAGTTATTCATGACCGCTATCTAAAGTCCAGTTAATTAATGTAATTCACATCTTCTGTAATGTTACTTCTTCTGCTACAAGATGGTATTTATGAAAGAATGATGTTGATAAAAATAATTTTTACTTTTTGTTTTCTGTATAGATGGCCTGTTTGGTCATTTGAATTTTACCTGGAACATTATAGCATCATATCTGTGATGATACAGGATTAGTTAAGTGTTACATGAAAACCTGGACAGGAAATTGTATTCTCTCTATGTGAAAAAAAAAAAAAAAGAATTCAAATACACTCCCTTTCCATACTAGGAAAAAAGGATAGTCTGAAAAAATCCTTAAAGAGGAAGTTTAAAAGATTAAATAAATCTAATAACTCTAAAAATAATCAAAAGCCAGTGACTAGGCTACACCTCCTTTAGTGGGAAGAACTGGATTGCAGGATAATCCACAGCAGGGCTGTGGAGAAGCAGCAGGGTGCTCTGACCAGAGAACAGCCAGCTCAGCACTGCCCAGGAGCTGAGGGTGGGGGGTCACAGGCACGAGGGACTAGTCCTTGGGATGCTGTGGGAGAAGAAGGCATATATAGGAGCCCCTTTTTTGAGGAAGGTATATATCTGCCTCTTGTTTTGCATTTGGAGATTTGGAGGGTGTTTTTGGAGGCTGCAGAGTTTTGGTAATTTCTCCAAGTGGTCAGTTTCATCTGTGGCAGCAGACTATGGGTATATTAGACTTGGAAACAGCATTTGAGTCTAAATTACTGTATCTCACCCAGTGGGTATATAAAGGAAAAGAGGGGAAAAAAGGTGACAATAGTTCCATAACGCTGTTTCATTATCAGGGTTCCATTATTTTTCTAATTTTCCATAGTTTCAGATTTTCTGTAATGTTGTTCTTGGCCTTTTCCAATTTCCCTAACATTTTGCAGCTTGATTGTTTTATTGGCAGTGAGCATCTTGGACTGCATCAGACTGGATGACCAGATTTCCTATTTCTCTTACAAAACAGGAAGAAAGTTGCTCCTAATGAGATCAGGTGGGAAAAGGGAATAGCTAACATGGTGTAAAGGTTACTGAGCAGAATTGGCTGCAGACCAAGGTCAAAAGGTAGCAGTCCAGATGGAGAAAAAGCAATTCTTAGGAAGTCTGATTGAAGATGAACTTAATGGATGTTCCACTGGATGATTTGATGACTGCGATTGTTTGGCAATTTGCATTTCACTTTGAAAGGTCAATGCTTATCCTGTATCCTGTTGAAACATGTAAGGCTTCAACAAACCAGTTTCTAGAATTACGCTACTCAAAAAGAAATTTGTGATATCATACACATTTTTATGGGAGTTGTGAAACACAAACTTATTTTTTAACTACTAATAAAATGGAAAACTTGATAATCAGAAAATTTAAAAATAGACCTTTTTACTTAAATATTTGGGGATGTATTAGTGCCAGCTGCATACCATATCACAGTGCATGCATGATACAAGGTAATGTCATATTATAGGTCACATTCGCTACTAAAAAGTGATATTTTACCAGAAATTTGAGGATTGTATGTTTTACTCTGGTATGAAATGAATTTTTAAAAATAAAATTAAAACTCCGAATTTGCACCAGTTTTGGTTTTTTCTTCTTTTCTTTGCATCCTTAGCTGATATGATTTATTGTAATAACTCACTCAAAGGGTTTTTTATGTTGTTAATAATTCAGAGCAGAATTTCCTATGGGTTTCTTCAGCAATTCCAGTATTCCTTAAAAATATGTAACGAAGGTAATGGGAAATTATTTTAAGCTCTGCAGGTGTAGTCTCTTCTCCATATCATACCTGAATTAGTGACAGTTTTGAGAGCATGGAAAAGTTTAAGAATGACTGAGAGTCGATGCAATGTGAATATCAAAATCAGTTTCCAACCTGAGAATGTGATGATCCCTACGCAAAACAAGATGCATGAACACAGCCACAGCTACTATTTGTGTTTGAAGGTATTGCAATTTCAGGAGTTGTGACTCCCATTTGAGAATGAAAAATTGAATTTCATAGCAGAAACTGGGTATAATTCATTCTACAAATACTTGAAAAGAGCAGAAATTAACTAATTTGATTGAAAATTATACACAGCAGGATTTTTATTGAGAAGTTTCCCCAAATGGTTGAGAATAGTTTACTCCAGATACAGGTAACAGAAAAAAGCAATAAATACTGAAAATAAGAAGAATTAAGATACTAAGTTTTAAAATCACTGCAAAAAAATTTGCGGTTCAACAGATGATATTTCAACAAATATTTTATCTTTATTTATGGTGAAGCAGGTCTTCTTTTTTCCCCAGGTATTATTTCCAAATTTTATTGTTTTACTTATTTAGTAGAAGAATGACATACAGTAATTGTGATAACAATTGTTATCATTAACAATAGTTCCAAGTTTAATAGTTTAAAGTTTTAACAGTTTAAATAGTTATAAGTGATGATGTGGATTGGCTAGTCAGAAAATTACACATAAATGGGACAGTTCCCTAATGAATGTGGAATTATCTTTGGTTTATCAGGCTGTTTATTGATATATAAATTGAATATTTTTTTTAAACTTTGAAATGAACATGATGGATTATCAGGACGTCTGAGGCCTTCCCTTTTAATTTATATATGTCAAAACCAGAATTCTAGTTGTGTCAGAAAAAAATACAGTAGACACTGCTCTTCTTTTTCTCTTAGGAAGAAGTTATAGTGAAAGGCTCTGGCAATGAAAATACAGGCATGCTGCATTTGTCTCATGTTCGCACCTTTAAAAATACTGTGTCTTGCATGATATCCAGGAACCTGGGAAAACTATGAATTATTTATGAATATCTGTTGAACCAGACATTATGGTTCTTTCTGTGGAATTAAGAGTTTAAAAAAATACCATGTGTACAGTGAAATAGAATGCTTTTCAAATAGAAAAAAACAAAACCCAAACTCAAACCAAACAAGAAAAACCAAGCCCACCAAACAGAAGGCTTTGGTGTCTGTTTGCCTAAGCATAAGAATCAGAGCTGTGGGTAAACAGAGTGACAGCCTGGCTGAGCAGTGTGGATTGGGTGTGCAGGGCCATCATCTCCATTCTGCTCCAGCTGTTTGTGGTGCCTCCAGCACAGCTGTATCTGCACAGCTCCTGAGTAGGAAACAATTTTACAGCACTGCTTAGCAAATATGGATAACTTTGACCCCAAAGAATGAGAATCATCTGTACATGAGACAAGTTCCTTTTTTTCCTTGCATCAGTACTGTAGATGATGTGCCAGCTGAAATGTTCAT